CATATAAGTTTTTTGTGCTTACTTAGTGCCCAGTTTAGTTGAGTTTGAAAGAAATAAAAAACAACAGAGAAGTAATACAGAAAATCTACAAGGAATTTGCCATCCAAGCTATAAATGGTAGTAGATATTTTATAATCCTAAAACAATAAACGACATATGAAGAAACTCTTTATTGAAATGAGTTTTATGACAAAAGATCCATATAGAACTATGCTTAGCGGATACATTATAGCATATTCTAGTTAAACTCAATTTCAGATAATTCCCCAGGACACTGTACCGCCTAAAGTATCCTCTGAACAAAATTTCAAAGTCTCTCATATCCCTTAAAATTTCACTTATAGCGAAGTGAAGAAGAGGTTGTCATATATGATAAAGAATCTATGACTTACTTGTAGTAGTCTTACTAAAACTTTTCTAAAGACTAAAGTTTCCCATACAAATTGAGACACTCTAATATGTTGAGTATATATATGCATATGACAATTGTGTACACTCATATAAATACATAAATAAGTTTCACTCATAAAAGAATAAAAAGAAAACGCAAATAAAGTGAGTTAAGAAGACGCTGAAGACACTTAACGCGTGTCATGAGTTTTTATTTAACTTTAAATTAGATGATTGTACTCGAATTTGTACTCATATAACCGTATTTATGTTGAAAGCACACTTTCAATGGCGTTAAGTAAGTTGTGGAAATGTTCGAGACGAAGCGGTTTAAAAATGTTACAAAATATATATATTGGCATTTGTCCCTGAGATTGCCCTTTCAAAGAATAGATAGGGCGAAATCATTAATATAATACAATGCTTTGGATCTTAAAGAACTCGAGGAACGAGGTTGTCGGGTAACAGCCTACGCTGACAATGTTGTCCTTATAGTTCAAGGAAAATTTCTAAATATCGTCTACGAGCTAAGGGTACCTCAACGGGGTGTAAAACTGGGCGAATAAAAGTGGCTTAGCTGTCAACCCAAGTAAAACTAAATTTTCATTTACCAGGCGGTATGAAATCCCAGACGCGCCTTTCCCCTCATTTGGAGACTCACATCTTCAACATGTTGATAAGGTGAAATACCTAGGGCTTATCCTTGATAAAAAAGGAGGTCAAATATTGAAGGGAGAGTAAGGAAGTTAACGCTTGCGTCACAGAGGCTACTTGTGGATGTGTGGATGGTAAAGAGTTGCTGGAGAAGAGGCGCAGTGAGGTTTTAAAAGGGAAGGTTCTTTACGCAAAAATGTATAAATCGAAAACATCTTTTATTCGTGGATAAATAAAGAAAATTCCTTGAGCTTAATACAAAAACGATATAAAATTAAAAATTAAAATTTAATTCACATTTTCCTCAATATTTGCATATTTTATTTTCCCTAATCCATAACCACTAACCTTTGGCTCTACTAATAATCATCAGTCGCATTTATTTCCTTTGATGAAATACAACTACATTATTCAATTCTATGCGCTCATCCGCTTTTTGCACGCTCCTTTCGCCGCACAACAATTTCCTAAGTAACTTTATTGCAAACAACTATGTTTGCAGAATTTCTGGCATCCGGCATACTTTACTATTGAGTTCTTCATGTAAATACAATGAAAATGGCTTATGAACCAGCACAATTTGGGGCAATTGAAACGGTTGCCACCACCGCATCTAAGCAAAGAAGGAAGCCAAAGATACCCTTGGGAGCAGCATGCTGATTTGTACAAACACTGAAAGGAATTTCCATTGGGAATCAAAGATTTGTGAGCCTGGAGCGTTCGAAGAAATCGGCTTGCTGAACGGAAGCTTGCAAAAATTATAAAAAAAAATTCCACTGCGGTTTATCTCTAAAAGCAAGTTCATAATTTTTAGTAAAATTTTTAGCTAGAATAACTTTTGGACAGAACTGCGCTTACACTACACCCTTCACCGATAAGCCTACTTCTTAGTAGTAGTAAAGTAAAAAAATTACGCTTGCATAGCAGAAAATAATTAAGGTGAATTAATTGACAACAGAATGGGCGGATGGAAGCGCATTCACAACCGCACAGCTTTCATCTCAGAAACACCCCGCGAGGCGACGATCAGCTGCGCTGGGAGCAAAATAGAATTACGAATTCGTTAACAAAGGAGGAAGAAGAAACAAAAAAAAAAACGAAATAATAAAAGCGAAAAATAGATACAAACGAATTGAGGAAAGTGGCAAAACAAAAGCCGCTTGCGTGGTGAAAAAAAAAGCAAATAACAACAGCAGAAAACAGAAATGATGCACTGGTTGGGGGGCACCAACCCTAGCAGCCATTACAGCCACCGCAGCCAAACCAACAACAACGATTAAGACAAAATTAGACCGTTCAGTGTCATAATGAAGCGTCGTAATCGAAACGCTTAAATGCTGACCCATTGTCATTCGGTGGCAATGTGAGGATGTCAGTGTCAGTGCTAAGTTGTAGTGGTGCTTGGCAGTCGTATTCACAAGCAGCACTGGCATACAATTAAAAAAAAATTGCACCCGCTTATGGAAGGTGTTGGAAAATAACCTCAACTGATGTGCGCTGTTGCTCAGTAAAAGTGAAAAGCAATCGCACGCAAATTAATTAATTAAACTTCCAGCACAGCTGGTCAGCTGTGAAGAAAAACTGCACGCATTTGAAGGGTGCAGATTGCTAGGGCATGCTATGGTATGCATTAGATCACAGCTTATAGGTAAAATAACACAAGTTTTTGGATTTAGCTGAGGGGTCAAAACCCAGTGAAAGAGGTGTGTTAGGAAAATATCCCATATTTGTCCATCTAAGTGATGAAAAATACCATTTAACAACTCGCTGAAGCGGAAATTTATAATTATATATATATATATATTAATTTAGACACATAGACTCCGATGATCTTAAACGCAGTCACCGTACACTCGATATTATTTAGTGGATATCCTCACTAACAATTGCAACAAGCTTTTGTAGTTCATGATAAGACTAATATGGTTGCCAGGCCAAAGTGGAACTGCTAGCTACTTTAAACGGATGAGCTTACAAGGAAGGAACCGCTGTCTCACTATCAACATAATGAAATTAAATCATAGCTCAGCTGTCTACTTGTATTTTACTACTTGATAACTGGGCCTCATGTGAGCTTGGCAACACTCTTAATTGAAGGAGTTTTATTTGATGAATTCCCAAAGAACCATCATGCCTTAAAAATCTTAAAAGGCAAATCAGTTGTTGAAATTGTTTGGAAAAAGAGGTAGAATCATTTCATTACTGTCTTCGAAACTGTTCCGCACTTTCGAGTTCAAGACTAGAACCGCATGGATCTGACACCTGCAGGAACCAAGGTGATAAAATGGGTTTTTGGCTTCACAAAAGACTGTCGTTGGCAACTCTATTGTTATTCCCATGAGATTAGCCAGATAACCGAAGCTAACCCAACCTCACCAAACAATGATCAGCAAAAGCAACCTCAGTGAGTCTTATATTAGTTTTTGAGTACTATTTTTAGAAGGAGCGAATAAGAAAGGAGATGATTATTAATTATCTTTTCTAGAAATTTGACTACAAAATGAGGCATCACCAAACTCTACCGAAATACCATGTTTTTTTTAATTACCAACAATAATTCTGATAATATTTTCTTAAACGTGTACCAATGTTGTTAAATTTCTCGCTACAACAAGTTGAACTAGAGAGTCCCAAGGACGTTACTTCTTCCTAAAGCAGTAAATAACTAACTTAATTAGAAATATTTTCTATGAGAATATATAAATATATCACTCATTCTGGTGTACACAAAATACAGCTCAATAATGAATTTTCCTCTTGCTTAGCTCACTTATTTAATATTCGTTCATTTCTTGGCTTCAAACGGCTGCCAGACAACATCAAAACAAGTTTACCGCACAGAGAAGCGCTTAAAGAGATTACATCACACTTTAAGAAGTAAGACAAGCTAAAGTGAAGGGCGAGGAAGACATTAATTAAGTGCCGAATATATAAAAAAAAAATATTACAAAACAATGCACGTAATGAACGTCTCGCTGTCTGCCGCTAGAATTGTGATGCTGTCGGCACAGAAATTATTACCATTTTGCTCATACGCAGCGTAGTACGCATGACGCAAAGCAGATGCAATGAAAGGGAAAATAAAGCATTTCGTACGCTTTATGTGCGATATCAAATGAATAAGAAACATGCGCACATACAAATATAAAATAGATGCGTAAAACTTTAGTACATTCAAACGCATACACACACATAAAAGTACCATAAATATCTTACAAAACCCAGCTGCAGCTGCAGAATCGGCGTCTTATCTCAAATAATTGTTACTGTTATGTGTATCTTTTGCTCACGCTCTTCACCGCTGCCTTGGCATTGTGTTTGAGTACGGAGTTTTGCTTGGGAAGTGTTTGTTTGGAAATTTGGCGCTGCGCTGCTTGCGTCGCGCTTTTAACCTGAAGTTGGTGTTTGTTATTATTTTTGCGGCTACTAATGTACTTACATACATACATACTTGTAATTATGTATACTGTACATGCTTGGGGTAAAATTGGTTTGTTGTCAAAAGCGAAAGGTGTAGCAGAAAAGAAAATGCACTTAAGCCAAGTAAATGGGAAATCGCCACAAAATTATATGACATAAGTGCTTAAATATATAATGAAATGGAAAAGAGTCTAAATTTTGAGTACATTTTACACACTTGCGCTGGCGCTGAGCTCTTTCTGATTAATATTTTTTTTTTGTATTTTTTTTATTATTTTTAAGTTTTTATTTTTCTAAAAAAAATATGCTGCATATTAAAAAAATTTTTTTTTTGGTTACAATTTATGAGTATTTATACATACATATATGTATATATTTTATAGAAATCATAACCATTTTTTTTGGTTTTTGTTATTGTAAATTATACTGACTTAAATGATAAATGTATTTATATATAACTGATTTAAAGGTTTTTGATATATTATATAATAAATAAAAAATAACGTATAATCAATTTTTTGTAATTTTTCAATTACCTATATTTTTATTTATTTGTAATTGGTTTTGAACGTTTAGTTGCATGCTTTTGTTAACAAATGTAAAAGCGCTCCAGCTGCCTTAAGTTTGGTTTACACTACCCTTGGCATTATGCTACTACTACTTGCAGCTGACTCGTGCTTTTTTTTTTTGTTGGAATTTCAAAATAGTTTACATATTTTATGCAAATTTTTGAAATAAATTCATTGGTTCAAAATTCCACTTTTATATTGCTAATATTACTGGTTTTAAGCAAGTAGATTATATACTTCGAGAATACTAGTACTTACAAAATATGTAATATGTAAATTCAAAAAATCATTGGCTTAATTCCAAATATATATGTATATATACTGAAACTAATTATTGCAGTTTCGTTGCAAAGTATGCGCTGCATACCAATTTTTTCATGAGGTTAAGTAATTTATGTAGATTTTAGTGGGTTAAGTTTACCATGAAGTTTATAACACCTAAAAGTTACTCTCCATTTTAAGATATAGATTTGAAATTTTGCACACGCTCTTAACGAACTGCCGATTTGTTGGAATCGCAAATATCGGAGATTATATTATATAGCTGCCATATAAACTGAACGATAAAAAGTTTTTATATCGAAAACTTTTTTATTTGGTCAGATATCTTCACGAAATTTTGCATGAATTATTGTACAAGGCAACACTACAATCTCAGAATTTATTGTTTAGAACGGGCTACTATAGCATATAGTTCATATAGAAGCTGAAAGATCAAAATCAAGTTGTTGAATGGAAATTTTTTTTATTATAGCTTCGAAGCAACCGAAGTTACCGTTTTTTCTTGGTTTTTATAGTTGTTTGCAGAGAAAAATCAAGTGAAGTTTTATATTTGGTTCTAAACAATTTTGACTATTGCAATTGCTTTGAATAAATTGTTTTATTCTTCAATGATTTTAAAATTGTACTATAAAAAACTAAAATATAACTAAAAATTTAATCATTAAAATTTTAAATTTTTATTTAAAGATATATGCCATTTTATGTGTAACAATACAAACATATGTATATTTAATTTTTAATCAAAGCACAATATTTGTTAAAAATAACTTTAAAAAAATTTTGATTTAGTAAATAAATGTCTTGATTTGTAATTGCTTCGTATAATTATGCAGCATATTTTTGTTTTATTAAAAAAGTTCCTTTAAATTAAAATTTTATCTTATTTTATCTCAATTATTGAGCAAATTATTTTTTCCATAAATTTTAAACGGTAATAAAATTTATTAAATTAACAACTGTTTAGTTACGGCTGATATATTTATTTTTATTAAATAAATAAGCATTTTCACGCATTCGCTTATGTCTTTATTTATTAATTTATTTATTATTATATAATTTTTATTCTATTGTTGCTTAGTTTTGTGTAATTGTTTTTTAATTCACTGAATAGTTTGCATTACGGCTAAAAATATTTACCTCAATTTAATGGTTCATTGATTTCATACAAATTGAGATTTCTAAATTGGCATCAATATAAGTATGTACATACGTATATTTTTATCAACTCCTTATTTTGTTTTTAACACTCTCACTCACGCGCGCTACACCAACTTCACAGCACAATGCAGTCTACAAAAAACAAAACCGACTGGAAAATTATAACTCTGTATGTTTTAAACACGTATGCATTTCGCTACAATATTCCATAAACGATGCTTTTTTTCGCTCCACTCACTTCAAAGAACTTTACTAAACCGCGTTTAACTTATTTTTGCGCGTAGATCTAACTGAATTTACACTTTTATACACAATTTCATTTACAAAGCACAAAATATTCGTTTGCATGTAGTACAATAGCTGCATGCATGCGAGGAGAAGTAAGAAAATGTTTAATTCTGCGAGACGACACGTTCCGCCAAGCACCTTCCGACGATGTCTGTTTTCCACGACAGTTGTACACTAAATAAATCTCAGGTCGCGGCACTTTTCCTTGTTAAACGACGACCGATACTGCATCGGCAGCAAAAACGGCAACAATAGCAGCAGCAGCAGCAGCTACGAACACAGCAAAAGCAGCACCACCACCAACTATCAGCTGTTGGCGAAGTTAAAATGGAACAAACAAACAAATGTAAAGAAAAAGTCAAACACAAAATCAAACTTGTTGGCGTACATCAAGCAGTCGCAGCTGCCGTCAAATGCCGAAGTGCCGATTCCCCGGCGAATGGAATATGCCAGACGCTACTGCGACGTCGACGGTGGCCGTGGCTTTGCCGGCATAATTATTGCAAGCATGTACAGACTGTGTTGTGTCTGCGTTGCGCGCCGGCAGAGCATTACAAGCGGCTCTATGTGCGAAGGTGGTTGGCGTTGTGAGCGTCGTAGACTGCTCTGCTAGCGTTGCAATCGATTCGTTATCTCGTGGGCAGCGCTGTGCGGACTGCAGCAGTATGTGGCGCTGCGTACATTTCCACCTCATTCACTTTCAACAGCCATCCAGTCGCATTTCCAGTGCGTGTGGCAAGTTAAAAGTTGGTAGCTTTTTTACTCACTCGTTTACATTTTAAATACGAGATAGCGTTATGCGCGTAAATATGTACGTAAGTTTATTTGTATACATACATATGTATGTATGTGTAAGAGTATACCTTACTGCCGCCTTTTATTTCTGATGCTACACGTGCCCTTTTCCTTAGTATAGCAGCATTTTGGTTAGTTTAATTGATAACCCAGCAGGCCAAAGTAAGTGGTTTTGAAACTGATGTTTAAATCTTTGATTTTTTATTTGTATTGTATTGTACATAGTTGGTAATGTTTAGACTAACTATTTAATCACAGCAACTAGTGGCGAATTTAAAAAAATGTATGTTATACATTCGTTTTAAACATATTCCAAATATTTAAATTATTAACCCAGTAAAGTAATAGGACTTGAATTAAAATATTAATATATTTATATTTTATTGTAATAAGTATGAAGAATGATAATTTGGATTCTTAAATAATATTTTTTAATTTTAGATTATATTTGTAACACAGAAATTATATCAATGGTACAAAAAAATGTCGTATGTCATGACAAATTATGAATATATATTTTCGGCGCTACTTACAAGCACTTTGTGTCATCATCACGTGTCAAGTCTCTATTGTACATGTGACAATCTCGTAACCTTTTTTTAATTTATAACAGCGGCATTACCTGACTTTATGTGTGCCTTTTATTATTTATGTGTGCATTCTATAAGAAAGTAAGTGTGTTCGGAAGAATTTGGTGCTATTTTACGAGGATACTTATATATAATATTTTTTAAGAACTTTTTGACACATTTACAAACGTGTTATAGGTAAAAAAAAGTATGTCAAGATTTCAGTCCGTAAAAATTTAATACCGTTATGCTTTACGTACAAACGGTTCATATACCAAAACTAATTAAAAAAGAAAAGTAAAATTTCAGCTCTAATAAAAATTAGAAACTGGTTGTTTTATCAATTTTTAAACAGTCGAAGTTTGGTTTACGTCAATTAACCGCTACGATTATGTTTACTTCCACTTTTAGCCGGAGCTAACTGGTCAAGACTAGATATGTTTCAAGGCATTGTTCTATATTTATCTCTTTCGTAGATCGTTTGAGATTTTCTAAACGCTTTAATCACACATTTCCATTCAAAACATGCGAATAATTATGATGGGAGTTTTCAAGCCGATTTTTTTCTACCGCTTATCATACATACAAACATACATGCATACCCATTCAAAGTGGCTATAGGGTATATCTGAATATATATGTAAGCATAAACATGATTTAGATTTCTTTGTTGACATTCGGAAATGATTTGTGTAGTTATGGATGTACACACATACATATGTACGAGTATTACATGAGAGACAATCGGATTTCCTTTAGCTTGGTGAAGTTTGTTTTTTGTTATAGTAGAAAAGCATAAAACAAATATACCTTCGCCTACATAAGAAAGAAATTATGATTGGCGATTTCATACATACATAAAAAGTAGTTACAAAATTAAGGTAACTGGTTTAAAATTTAATTTTTTTAATTCGAAATTTTAAAATGTTACTAAAAATAACTAAAAATATAAGTTTTTTTCTCGTTAAGCTTTTATATATTTCCACCAAAATTAAAAAAAAAAAAAATGTTAATCGGTTTCGATATTCGAATAGTTGGGTAGATTTACCAAACCAGTACCTAACTGTTATTTAAAGTTTAACTTTAAGTACTTAAGGTTATTAACTAATATCACTAATTTTTATTTTTTTCTTGTATACCGACTTCAATCATTTTTTAATACACTAACTATTTGTTTATGAAACCTCTACAAAAATTGTTTTTTTTTTTAATTTTTAAAAATGTAAGAAAATTCGCAATGAAACGAGTAATTTGGAAATTTGAAAGCCTTTTCATGAACAAGTAACTATATTTTGGCACATACAATCCACATATAAATGCAAAAATCCCGTACGCTTAACCTGCAGACACAGCCTGACAAAGGGTGACTGCTCATTCACCTTTATAACCGAAAAAAAAACTTCTGTGCACTCGTGTGTAACAAATTGTTGAACGCTACTCATTTTCATTACCTTTAAGCTGTGGACACAGTGAAGTGTCTATACATATATATTATATAATCACTTTACGAAATTTCAAACCACAATAGTCGTTAATCTCCTCAGCTTGTTTGGCTACCAAGAAGACCTACACAATTAAGGTTATGTTATGCTGATTGAATGTGTGCACGGTCGGGAAAACATCAATAGACAACCAGACGAGATTGTCAAAGCAAAGATTTTGCACAGCTCTTTTTTTACAGCAACGCAAGCGAACACATTGGCGCACCCACAAACCCACTACGCCACTTGGTCCACTCATATTGAGCAATCAGCTTACGTTTCGATTCCACTTAAACGAATTAAATGAGTGTCATTAAAATGCGAAGTTGCAAGCTGCTAGAAATTGCAAATATTAGTGTTGTAGAATTGTTTACATACTATATACATAGATGTTGCAAAATGTTTATTGCCTGCTTCTCCTTTTAGGGTTCTGTGTAATATTATTGTAAATTCCTATTAATAAAGAATCGCTCGTAAGCAAATGGTTTCAAAACTTATGTTCCCTTATAGAACGCATTTATACTTCTCATCAATGTCAAAGTAAAAGTTAAAAGAACAAAAGAGTTCAAACGTGCTCAGAAGAAAGATTTTTCTTTTTATAAAATTTAGTAAATAAAAATCTATTATTTTTCCATTAAAATACAACAAAATCAATCCATTACTGAAACGTGGTTACTAATGATAAAAAGTGGGTCTTACTTACGACAATGTGAAATGAAAACGGTCACGGTTGAAAAGCGGTAAACCGGCGTAGAAGATTTTGCGGAGCGTTTGGTGGAAATAGCAGGGGATCATCTTCCATGAGCTACTCTTCTGAGGCCAAACTCTTAAATCGGACCTGTACTGTCAATGATTGAAGCGTCTATAGGAAGAAATCCATAATTTTTGTCATAAGGACAGAAATTTTGTTCGATCCAGCCACACACATCGATAGTGACTCGCCAGAAGCTGCGGACATTTGATTGAGAGGTTCTTATGCATCCACCTTTTAGTCTGGACTCGACCGCAAGTTATTACTACCTGCTGCTGCCAATGGCGAATTATTTTACTAGTGAAAAATTCGCCACAAGAGAAGCTTGTTAAAATGGACGGTTCCAGTTGTATGCTAGTAAGTTGCAATGAGAGTGGCAATATGTAATTACCGCAAGAAGTAAATTATTTTTGCTACACCTCATATATTATTATTATTATTATTTGATAATATTAAGTATGTGCGGTTAAGTACTTAGTAGCCTTGTAGTATGTCCACTTTTCCACTACTCATCAATTACAGTGTGAATAACCAGACAAACATTTTAGAGACACAACAACAGTTAATTTCTATTTAATTACATGCCATAAGTGATCGTTTATGTAAAAGTGGGCAGAAATC